AGCGGGTTTGGCCTAGGGAATTTTAGTGGGGTTTTTAAGGGTAATTTTAAGGGTAATTTTAACGATTGGCCTTTACGAATATTTTCTTTTAATTTGGTTTTAATATGGATATTTATTGTAATGTTGTTTTATAAGGCTGTTAGCCGCCCTGAGTCCGGTGAGGAGAAGGGCGGGATACAAATTAAATTATAAATAAAAAATAAATAAATAAATTATAAATAAATAATGCTGAAAAAAACCCCATTCTCTTGGTTTTCCACTTCCTCTCAATCTGTTTGTGCTTCATACATATTATTTGTTTTCAGATTCAATCTTTGTTCATTCTTTCACAAAATCACTTCATGATACTGCTTTTGTACTAATCAGCCTAATTAATTTGGTTTCCAATCATTAAGGACATTAACAGTACTGCTTAACCAGAAACAATTTTTAAATGCCTCAAAGACACAGAATATTTTATATATTATTTATTAAAGCCATATGCCACCTCACTATCCAGAACAAAACAGTCCATAATTCAATGCTTTCACTTTAATTTAATCCTTACTTAAATCAGACAAATGATAATTTTTCTTTCTTATATTCATACATTTTTTCAATGATTTGCTGAAAAGCCAAATTCCAATTTTCACAGCACATGCATAGCATAAAGGCTCACTTTATTTCATAAATTGTAGTTTCAATGAAAAGAATAAAAAAAGGAAGTTGGATGAATCTTATTTATCTCTGTGCTAATAAAGACGTTATTGGTTCTATTTCCCATTAAATTATAAAGCACGTTTTGGTTTTAAGTAATAACAGAAATATAAGCAATTACCTATAGGTGGTGGTGTGGTGACAGCAGGACCTGAAAACAGAAGAAATAACGTCTGTCTGGGTGAAGATGATAGCATATTGATGATGATCATTTATGAGGTTTCATGATATTGCCAGTATTATTATCATCATTATAATTTCTTTTATATATTTTACTCTTTAGTTTGATACAATAAAGTAAAATAAGAAAGGCATAGAAACTGTTGCTTTTCAATATTGATACTACAGGTAGTCATCATTTACTGACTGCTACTGAGTCTACCACCTCCATCATTAAGTGTTGTGATTGTTAAGCATGTTAAGCACTTTAATCAAATTTATTTAAAGATAATGTGATAATTCACTGAAACCTGCATAACAAGGTCTTAAATCATTGAATGTTCAATAATAAATGCACTTTTTCTACTGAGACCCATTAACAATGAAGATTGTCTGAAATCTTTACACATAATAGCAATTAGGACCCTTTGCGATCGCATTCAAGACCCCCTGGTTAGATGGTGACATCCCCTTCGCTTTTTGATGGTATCATTCTACCTGGCAACAGTTACCTTACACTGATACCTGATTTTTAAATTATTTTTTCACAGTGTTTTGATAATGTAAACCAAGTAAAACTGAAAATTGAGTGGTTCAGATTACCTGAGCAAATGACCCCAGCATCTTCCTTGTGATGACAGTTATGAACGCCCCAAGGTTTATGAGAGCATTCTTCAAGAGAGGATTCGTTCCCTTTGCACTTCAGCTCATCCAGGAAGATGCTGCCAGTTCCTTCCCCAAACTCAGCCTTAGGTAGGGCTTGGATGGCCTCTCCACAGGCAAGCTGTCTACACACAACGTGTGCGTCATTCATGTCCCAGCCATCGTCACAAATTGTTCCCCAGCTTCCATTGAAAAAAACCTCAATGCGACCACTACATTTGTCTTCTCCATTCACCAGTCTCAGAGATTTTTCTTGAAAGGAAAACAAATGCATATTGGAATTTTCACCTCAGATATCTAATTTCTAGAATTCTTTATTACTACACAGAGAGGAATCACCTCTGTTATTCTGTATTGTCCATAGAATACATTAATGACAGTCAATTTTATTCAAGTCAGATTATTTTTCTATTTAGTTTGATTCTATCAGAACAAAAGTAGTTTCCATAGAGAAAAATAATGAGTGGAAAAGAAATGATGCATTTTTCTACATTTGCATGTTAGAGGCAAAAATGAGCTTGGAATATTTTGTTTCTTTTATATAAGGAAAAGAATCAATCACAAAATGGCTAACATGCTATTCAACATTTAAATATAATTGTTCATGAATGAGGAAATTGGTTAATCTACTCATCTGGAGTCATAGACCAGCATAAAGCAACTTCAATAAGAATTGCAGATATTTCAGAAATAACAATGAAAGTCATGAAATGTAGAAATTAGTTGGTAGAGCACATTTTAAATGTGCATCATTTAGTCAGAGAAATATGCCTTCAAAGGATTTCCTATTTAATACAAAATTTCTATCGCTTATTGAAATAAGATTTTTATGTGCTTTGCAGATTTATTAAGAACTCAAATGCCTAATAAGCATTAACAAGCTGCAATCCAGAAACATCTTGTATACTTGTATATATTATTGTAACATTAACTTCTAACAGTAAACCCTATTAAAT